CTGTTTTTGCTTTATTCTCTGAACATCCTGCTTTTTCAAAACAGGACTATATTCTAAGTATCACTAACATCCTAAAAACCCCTAATGGGTTTTGTCTGAATGGACAAAGTCAGGTGAAAATAAATGAATTACGACCGCATTGGCAATTCTCATATTTACTAAAGCTTAATGCAGTTGGAATTTGGTCGGCCAGACCGAATCTGTAGCAATTGCCTGGATGCATTGTGTGACTAGATAAAATTCAAAGCTATCGCATGCAAAGTTTGGGACTGAATTATCAAGCAAGTAAGTGGCTGATAATTTGAAGTACTATTTGCCCGCTTGCTGTCAACTAGTTAAAAACTCTCAGCAATGATCTCACGTCTCTCAAGACATGGCTGTCAGAGCACTCTGATTGGTTGGCTTACTAGCAGAGTTGAGCGGACACCTGGATGTTGGGGTTCGACGAACTTAAAAAAAAAGTCCGGGTTCGGGATCGAACTTGACCCCAAATTTGACCCCGAATCCTATTGAAGTCAATGGGTACACAAACTTTTGGGCACTAATGCCTCTAAAATGTCCTGGAAAGGGCTAGAGGGCTGCAAAATGAAGTAAAATGGGGGTAAGAGTAGGACAAGTGCCCTGCAAACAATTGTGGATAGGGAAATCACTTAAAATAACATAAAATACATAAAAATTTAAAATACAGCTGAGCCATAAAATAGCACTAGATGGAATCTTTGATTTTAGCTTTGGAAGAACATAAATCAAAATCTAAAGCATGGCTGTCAGGAGGATCAACAGAATTATCCATTTGAGAGAGGGTTGGCGTGCAGGGTATTCTCTTTCATTGTTCAAACTGAGCTCAACTCCTAATGCATGGAGAAAAGGCCTTCACAAGCCTCTACTATTGTGTACATAGTTTATACTAAGTGACCCATAGGTTGAGGAGGCGGTGACCGTGGCGGTGTAGGTGGAAGCAGCGGTGGAGGAGGTAGCCAACACTGTTTATATATATATATATTTTTTTTTTAATTGGGGTAGCCCCCAAAATATTGGGACATAAAAAAAAGAAACATTTATGGCCCACAGTGCATTTCTTGCAGTCCTGATGCATGGAGAAATGCTCAACTCCTGATGCATGGAGAAAAGGCCTCTCCTATTGTGTGCATAGTTTATACTAAGTGACCCATAGGTTGAGGAGGCGGTGACCGTGGAGGTGTAGGTGTAAGCAGCATTTAATTGGGGCCAGGGATCGCAGGTGGCTAGGGGGGTACTTCCCCTTTCTCTCCAGTGTTTGGGAGATGGACAGCTGAACGCTTCCATGGGACAGTGTGGAGATGCTGGACAATTGTGTACCTGGCCTATGCCGGTGCAGGAACCCACCCTCCGAGCCACTTGTGAATGACTGGCCTGATAACCGTGGAAATGACCCCTCTTCCTCCTCCTCTTCCTCCCCTCCCACATCCTCTTCCATCATCGCCCAAAGTGTTTTTTCAAGGAGACATAGAAGTGGGATAGTGTGGGGATATTTATGGGATGATAATTTTAAGCAGTCGAGAATTGCCCACTATTTCAATCCTCTTAGATCTTAGAGATCGTTTATCATATAAGTGAAAAGTATTCCATACAATTAATAATCACAATGTGTTATAAAAATAGATTTTATTTTATAATAACAATTAATTAACAATAATACTAGGCAGCATGCATAATAATAATAATCAGTGAATATTTAGTATAACATAATATGCAATACAATGGAATGGGTATACATGTTTCAATGGCTAAACAGCATTTTCTGTCAAGACTTACACGATTTATGAGGGTATCCTTACAGACAAAAAGTGAAGCTTTTCACAGCGAAGGGCCATAAAACCCTGGCTAACAGTTAGATCAACTGAGTAACCCTTTCAATGCTGGCTAGATCCTCCTAGGCATATAGTATCCTATTCTCCTGTGATTTTCAATTGAAATAACATTTGTACCAACTCATTAGTCATTTCCTGGAACCATCCAATAAGAATAATCTACCAGATTTTTACAAAAGCAGAATTTTAATTTGTTTAAAAGATATCTTATCTTATTTTAGAGCAAATCAATACACCTGGATAAAAACAGCGGTATGCTAACACGTGATACTATCACATTAATATATAATTATTCTTAATTCCACCTGCAGAATGGAATGTTTATAACTGTATATTCTTTAGTTAACTAAGATTTCTAATATGAAATCTGACCGTGATTTATCCAGTCATATATCATGCTATTAGTAAATTTTAATTAATTTAAATTAATTAAATTAAACCAGCATAATTACCAGTTATGTAGATATTCTCATCAGATGAGTAGGTAGTCCCAGAAACTTGATTGGTTGTATGGAAGTGCGTGAGTGATAGGAAAAGTATAATTCTAAGTGTTAAGAGTTTTAAGAGTAGAGTGTTAGTCCCAGATATTGTCCTTGATTTCTCTGCATGTCTGACTTGGAATCCCCAAACTTCCAATTCGTCTCTCTGTCTCTCTCCAACTCCAACCCCAACTCCAACTACCCTGTCTTCCCTTTGTCCTAACTTTTAAAGGGCCAGACTCTTTGTAAGTCATTAGTTGATAACCCAATAGGAAGCCGTAGGTGTGTCCAATCTATGCGACGTAATTTAGGTATTTGATCCATAGAGGGCAGTCTCGTCTAACGAAACCTTCCTATCCAGGAAAGAGTTAACTTTTCCTGATGACGATTTTGAAGTCATTTGGCTTATCTAAAATGACTCCCATAACTTAGATTTGCTGTCAGTTCAAAGCATTTGTGCCAGTCTTTGTGGCATCTACTTGATCGTAACTTGTAAAATTTACAGTTCTAAACTCAATTTCAACCCTTTCTTACAATGGTACCTTATAAGATTTAGAAAGTAAAATTAATTACTTAGTCTTCTCTGTCACTAGTGTCTGTGTTTAGATAATGCATCTATTCCATTGACATTTTAGACAGAGCATTCCATCCCCCTTGCTTCATTGCTTATCTTGGTTTGTTTATATAATACATTCCTCAGCTCAAGCAAGTGGCTAGTTACAGAAGTAAGAAGAAATCAAGGAAATTATGTGTTTTTGTTATCCTGAAGATAGCAAAAATGGAGTCTGCTTTGTTCTGAGTGACTTGGGCAATATACACTTTTAATTTCTTTTTAGCACAAAATGTCTGTTGATATAAATATTCTGACAATAGTAATGCTGAGAACGGCATCATCGGCACTGGCCATGTTGGTGGAGTACATCGAAAAAGTACAAAATGACACACAGGTCTCGCATGGAGGCCCACTCATTGGTGCTGTTCTGCAGAGTGACTGACCCATGCATGCTGCAGCTGAAACTCTACTATTGCCTGCTGCTGCTCGCAACAGTCTCTCCAGCATGTGCAAGGTGGAAGAGTTCCACCTTGTGGGTACGTCGCATATGAGGCGGTGAGCGGGAAGGCCGAAGTTACGCAGGCCGCACTTTCTGCAGCAGCTCTGATAAATCTGGGTAGTTTTTCAGGAATTTCTGTACCACCAAACCGGCTAGGCCCAGAGCTGCTACGAGATTTCGCCCATTATCGCACACCACCAGGCCGGGCTTGAGGCTCAGTTGCAACAACCACTCATCTGTCTGTTGTTCCATGCCATCCACAGCTCCAGCGCGGTGTGGGGTTTTTCCCCCAAACATATGAGTTTTAAAACAGCCTGCTGTCATTTCCCCCTGGCTGTGCTGAAGTTGGTGGTGAAGGTGTCACGCTGACCAGATGAGGAGGTGGTAGAGGAAGAGGAAGCAGAGTAGAAGGAGGAGGCAACAGGAGGCAAAGCTGTGTACCCAAACAAAGATTGTCAAATGTTGTATCCTGGAACTGTGTCCCATCCGGTTACTGGGGAAACGGATCTGACCTATTCTAATCAAAGGGGATAACCATCGGTTACCAAGGCTTCAATTGGTTGCAAGCAGCGGGATCCCATGTCCCTGCCAACAGACCCAAGGACTACAGTGCTCTAAAGTGACCTACACTGCAGGACTTGTATGGTGCCAGAGGAATAATGCCTGGTGGGCGTAACAAGGCCGAATTGACTGCTGCGCTCATGGAGGACGAACAGGTACACAGCGAGGCAACGAACCCCAGCCAGGGGCCGGAGATGAGGAGGAAGTGGAATGGCGCCTGGCATATTACCGAGAGCCACCGTCAGAGGAGATTGTCAGCAGGACCTTTTTGGAGGTGCAAGCCTGTGTCCTTGCCAATAGACAGAGGGCGACCTCCATGAACCCAGATGAAGGGAGAAGGGAGCAGAGGGCGCTGGGAAGCACAACCACCCTGGCCCCCAAGCTACCATACAATGCCTTCAAAGAGTTCAAGGAAGCAGAAGAAGGCATCAATGACTTTTTACAAGACTTTGAGCGCCAGTGCCTACTCCAAGACGTGGACCCCAGCAACTGGGTCACCATTCTGGCCAGCAAACTAGTGGGGAAGGCAGCGGATATTTACCGGGCATGTCCCAGAAGAGTAGATCAGAGACTATCCCTTTATTACACAAATCCTCCTGGCCCGGAATGCGGTCACCCCTGAGCAATACCGCCGAAAGTTTTGGGAGACCCGGAAAGGGGAGAAGGACTCCCATGCGGAGTGGGCATGCCGCATCACAAGGGCCACCCAGAACTGGCTCAACTCCCATCAAGCCAAGTTCCCGGAGGAGATCACCCAGCTCGTCATGCTAGAGTACTTTTTCATTGGGCTCCCCAACGACACGGCTGGTGAGAGACCACCAGCCCCAGACCCAAGAAGTATTGGTATGAGCTGCTGAAGCTAGCTTATGATATCCCCTTGGCAGTGCATTTGGGCATGAGCTGAACAGCGTCTCGGCTCACCCACAGCTTCTTCTGGCCAGACATCTCTCAGGATTTGAGGCAGTACTGCCAGTTGTCTGCCAGAGAGTGGGGAAGAGAAGGGACCGGCACAGGGCCCCCCTCCATCCCCTACCTATTAGTGAAGATCCGTTAGTGCGCAGGCACTTTGGTGACTCTAGAGAACCTCGGGCCAATCGCACGTCCCTGTGATGGTGACGACGCATTCGGATGTCTGCCCTATCAACTTTCGATGGACTTTCTGCGCCTACCATGGTGACCTCGGGTAACGGGGAATCAGGGTTCGATTCCGGAGAGGAAGCCTGAGAAACGGCTACCACATCCAAGGAAGGCAGCAGGCGCGCAAATTACCCACTCCTGACTCCTAACAATACAGGACTCTTTAGAGGCCCTGTAATTGTAATGAGTCCACCTGAAATCCTTTAACTAGTATTAATTGGAGGGCAAGTCTGGTGCAGAGCGACTGACCCATGCGTGCTGCAGCTGAAACTCCACTATCGCCTGCTGCTGCTCGCACAGTCTCTCCAGCATGTGCAAAGTGGAGTTCCACCTTGTGGTCACGTCGCATATGAGGCGGTGAGCGGGAAGGCCAAAGCTACGTTGCAGCGCAGACAGGCGAGCAGCAGCAGGGTGAGAATGCCCAAAGCACGCACAGCCGCCACAGTGAAGTCACATCCTATTCCAAGTTTCGGATCAGTCTGGTGATGGCTTCTGGTATCCAGTACTCTTTTTACTGAAGCTCCATCAGGGTCCTGGTATGTGGCAGTTCGGGTTCGCTCAACTCTATTATAGATCCTTTGATCGCTCCATCTGTTATTTGGATAACTGTGGTAATTCTCAAGCTAATACATTCCGACGAGTGCATGGGGACGGCCACTCCACCTTTGCACCCCACTCCCTCTTATGCTCTGCTGGTGCCTCTGTGCGACCAGCGCCTCTTCCTCCAAACTGCACACGTCACTCGCATGACCTTGATTCCATGTGGGGTCTAGAACCTCATCATCCTTCACATCATCTTCCACCCACCCCTCGACCCTGCCCTCCTTGCTGGTCTGCACACTGCAGAAAGCCACAGCAGTTGGCACCAGTGTTTTCCAGCATGTAAACTCTGCAAAGGACATATGGGAATTGTTTTAGAATTGTATCCAGGCAACAGTTTTCAGTATAAACTGACCTCTCAGTTTGAATTGTGAGGGTATTGCCCCCGAATTACAGTATTGTTATATTGATATTTGACGGTTCTATTTGACTGTCAGATATGAAGTGCAGGCCGCAAATGTAATATTAAGCACCCAAAAAAAATTGAATTGGTCAAACTGCTCTGTAACCACAGTATTTGACGGTTCTATTTGACTCTCATATATGAAGTGCTCACCCCAAATTTACTTTTTATCACCCCAAAAATTTGAATTGGTCAAACTGCGCTGTAAGCACAGTATTTGACAGTTCTATTTGACTCTCAGATATGAAGTGCACCGCAGGCCGCAAATGTACTATTTAGCACCCAAAACAATTAGAATTTTTAAAAGTGCGCTGTAAGCACAGTGTTTGACGGTTCTATTTGACTCTCAGGTATGAAGTGCACCGCAGGACGCAAATGTACTATTTAGCATTAGCACCCAAAACAATTTGAATTTTTCAAAGTGCGCTGTAAGCACAGTGTTTGACGGTTCTATTTGACTCTCAGATATGAAGTGCCCCGCAGGACGCAAATTTACTATTTAGCACCCTAAACAATTAGAATATTTAAAAGTGCGCTGTAAGCACAGTGTTTGACGGTTCTATTTGATTCTCAGATATGAAGTGCACCGTAGGCCGCAAATGTACTATTTAGCATCCAAAAGTATTAGAATTTTTCAAGGTGTGCTGTAAGTACATTATTTGACGGTTCTATTTGACTCTCAGATATGAAGTGCACCACGGGCTGCAAATGTACTATTTAGCACCCAAAACTATTAGAATTTTTCAAAGTGCGCTGTAAGCACAGTATTTGAAGGTTCTATTTGACTTTCAGATATGAAGTGCACCGCAGGACGCAAATGTACTTTTTAGCACAAAAAAGTGTGATTTTTAAAACCAACAATGTAACAGTAGTATTTAAGGGTTTTATTAGACTGCAAGAAATGCAGTACGCAAATGTACTATTAAGCACCCAAAAAATTGCAGAATTTAAAAATGCCTAGATGTTGCCCACTGAGCTACCAGAACAGGATTAAAGTCATGTGCCAGGCACACATGCAGTTGCAAGTGCACTGCACTCTCTGTGGCACTGGGCTCAGGGCAGGGTACAAAAATGTAGTATAGCACCCACTAAAATAACCGCTGTAGTTAGAATAATCGCTGTAGTTTGAATAATCGCTGTAGTTTGCATATTCAACACCAGAATTATTTCCTAAGCTGTCCCTCACAGCTGCAGCATCCTGTCCCTACACTATTAAGAGCTCATATGACGTGCGGCGCTACATGACCCGAGCTTATATATAGCGGCTGGGTCACATGCTGCACTGGCCAGTCACAGCCATGCCATTAGTAGGCATGGCTGTGATGGCTTCTAAGGGCAAACAAGTCAAACGCTTGTTGATTGGCTGCCCTGCAGCCTTTCAAAATGCGCCATTAAATCGCTGAACACCGAACTCGAACATACACTGAAATGTCCGTGTTCGGGTCCGGGGTCCAAAAACCGTAATGTTCGGTACGAACCCGAACTTTGCGGTTCGGGTTCGCTCAGCTCTACTTACTAGCCCACTATGTCCTAGGCTTTTGGTATATGGATTTAATTTTTTTAAGTTTTTAAATGAGGCAGCTGGCCAGCAAGCACTAGCATAAGTAACTGCTACATTGCTGAATGTTATTAACTATTTGCAAAACATTCAGGTTTTTTATTAGTCAGACTCCAGATTTAATTAATTCACAATTGCTAGTATGTTTACCATTTTTCCACTGTACATGGATGTAAGCCCCCCTATTTCATTATATTACACATGTTAATGATGTAATTATTTTGTGTCGTCTGGCTGTGACTGATCTCCCTTAAAGCTGACTATGTTTAAGGTAATATGAATTAGAACACTGGTTAATAACAATCTTTAGCTTTTAAGATAACATTGGTTGATGGAGTTAGATGATGTTAGATGCAGTACAGCGTGGTTTACTACCAGGTATCTGCATCTTAATTTCACCAAGTAAATCTGTAACTACCTTACTTACGATTAGTTGCCAAGACACACAGAATGTATACCTACCAACAGTCCTGGATCCATCGAGATGTCCAAGTTTTGGGATCCTGTGCACTATCCCAATTTGTGCATGTTGTCAGGGCACTAGTAATATGTAAATAGCTCTTAGCAGCACTCCGTGCCTTGAGTGCTTTGAGTGGGGCCGGCATGGGCCCTCCTTAGGAACTTGATGCTTCTTTGGATGGCCTCCCCTCTTTCTTTTTTCGGCATCACGAGTTAAACAAGTGGTATCACTGGCCCACCCTCCCCATGCCCTGATTTGATGCTTCCCAATATTGGCAGATAAGAAGATATTTGTAAGGCTGCAGTATGTATATTGCGATATTTTAACTAAAGTGCATCAAGCTAGAAAACTAGGGAACTGCTTGTTTATTTTGCATCAGAACACACTTTATTTTTGCATTTTATGTGTATATACCAGATTTGGTGGACCTGTACCTAACACTGACTTTATGGGTCTCTTTTCTGTAGTCACTGAAGATGACACAATAAAGTGGGCCTCCACCAATGACACTGTGTCTTGACCAGTTTTATTTTGACTTGCAGTGCTTACAGCTGTCCCATAGTCTTCCACAATATCCTCCCTGCCACACTAAAGGTGTTTTTGGCATTCTCTGTAATTCTCTCAGACTAATCTCCTCATTTTGCATGAATTCCCAGTTCAATGAATGAGCCTGCCAGTGTCTTCATTTGTTAATACAGGCTTCACCATTGCCCACTTTGGGTAATTTGTACTTCCACTGCCTCTTACAATCTTGTTAGTGTCCAATGTTTTTCTGGATCCCTTCTTGAACCTCTGGTGAGTGCTGATGCTCCTGACTCACATTCCATACTTCAAGTTCTTGTTGTACATGGATAACTGCTGAGTTGGGTTCTCCGACCCTCCCATTCTCTTTACCTTCTCCTTGCCTGGGACTCTCTCTCTCTACTCCATATCTATATCTGTTTAAATTAAATAGAGATATTATGGTGTCATTGGGTGTCAGGAGACCTCCTTGACCCATAGCTTATGCAATGCACATAGGTTACTATAGGGCTGGCAGTGTTCATTTGATATTGCGGTTGAAGTGGTTTTTATTTGCTGGTATAGTATCCTCTCATGCAAAAATGTAAGTGTAAGTTTTTTTTCCTTATACTTCGTTATGCATACACTTTCTAAAACAGTATTTGGATAATACTGTGATATATCTATGCATTGATAAATTAATATAATCCTAAACCGTAAAACATCCAACATTTTTTTTTTTTTAAATAAGAAAGTCTAGTATTTCATTATCTTTCATGAATGCAACTGCTAATTATTAGAGTAACAGGAGATCTAAGAGCACTTGAAAGAATATAATCAAGAAAGAATGTCTTCAGAATTAATCTTCTTGCTAACATTTTTGCAAGAGAAAAATATGCATATATTTATATTAATTATGACACAAGTAGTTGCTACCTCAGTTTAGGCTACATAGATTGTCATGACTGTTAGACACATGCAGATGCACTAAATCAGAATTCTGTAAAATGAATGAAGAGGTTAGAACACATACAATGTTATATTGTATGCTTGCCATCCTTTCTTCTAGTTCACACAGTTACCTGCCTAAAACAGGTGACTGTATTCAGGGCCGGCGCAAGGATTTCCGCCGCCCTAGGCATAGACCTATTTTGCCGCCCCCCCATGTCACTCACTCACTGACAGACACACAGTGGCAGACACAAATGCTCACTGACATGGACACAGACACACTCACTGACACACATACACTCACTCACTGACACACATACACTGGCAGACACACACACTCACTGACACGTACACAGACACACTCACTGACACACATACACTCACTGACAGTCAGACATACACTCACTCACTGACAAACAGACAGACACACACACACACACACACACACACACACTCACTGACAGACACACACACACACACACACACAAACAAACACAGAAACTCACTGACAGACATACACTCACTCACTGACAGACAGACAGACACACTCACTGACAGACACACACATACACACACACACACACACACAGACACTCACTGACAGACATACACTCACTGCCAGACACACAGACAAACATACACTCACAGACAGACACACACACACACACACACACACACACAGACAAACACTCACTGACATACATACACTCACTCACTGACAAACACACACACAGGCAGACACTCACTGACACACACACACACAGACAGATTGACACACACACTCACTGACACACAGA